TGTGTGTGTGGTTTGTGTGTGTGTGTGTGGTGGGTGTGGGGTGTGGTGTGTGGGTGTGGGGGTGTGTGGTGTAGGTGTGTGGTGTGGGGGTGGTGTGTGTGTGTGTGTGTATTCCGAGTACTCTTCATATAATTTTCGCAGCATGTATAGAGCATCGTCTTCATCTTCAGCAAACACCACCTGGTCATCTGCGAAGTGTAGAGAGAATAACATAGTCCCAAATTTTAATACCCATATTACATTTCGTCTTCCATCTCAGATCTTCATTCAAATATATTTTTAACAAAGTTGTTGCCATACAGCACCTTTGTTCTAAACTTTTATTTACTGGAAATGGTGCTGAAACCTTTCTCCTTACATTTATTTGGTTCATATTATCACTATACAAATTTTTAACAGCTCTAAACAATTGTGTATTTACATTTTGTTTCTCCATTGCCATCCATAACATACATAATGGAACAGTGTCATTGAGCTTATGCAGATTGATAAACACAAGGTGCGTCTCCGAGTTGTGGGCAAAGATAGAAGAAGGGATGTTTAAAAGAATGGCACGGGTCTCCTTTTTGTTGAACTCTCCGATTTTTCAAAAAATGGAAATTCAGTAATAACATCAGAAAGTATACAGTCTTAGCCCCACTAACTTCTATTGGTGGAGGAAAAACTGATTTTCATTGTAATATTAATTTAATGAGATTTTATTCAAACTTTGAAATCAAACATGATATGTCAAAAGCAGACAAAGTACACAATATATTGTTGACCTCCTTGTGGATGTTTTATGTATTACTACCGTGAAATGTCTCTAGTCTCTTGTCTGACATGTTTTACATTTTTGATGCTTACGTAGCTCGTTTATATAACTATTGGTATGTTTGCTTTTGTAGCACGTTTCTTTGGTTCACGGGCCACTAGAGCAAGGAAATCTGGTAGTGGCAAATCTACCTCTGCAGCTTCCACTTCCCGTACTTCTTTGGGACGTGGCCAGCATGCCCTTAAGTTCAACAGATGCAGCCTTAAACAGGTTATAGCAGCAATGGGCTGCAATGGAGATAAATTTGCGTGGCTCTTTCCGGGCACACTTACTCCTGCTGCAATAGTGCTGTCCAAGAACCTGCGTAATATGGTTGATGCCTTCTCACTGGTGACTATACTTGTATTAAACCTAATTGAAGGTAGTTTTAAGATTAGTTTAAACTTAAATGCTTGCATCTATTAATATTCTGCAGTTGTTTTACATATTATTCAAACCATGCATTATTTTCAATCATATAATTGGGATATCAGATATGAAGAAATCACTTAATATAACATTTTTGATAGCATAACTCAGTTGCCAAGTATTGAAAAAGTGGGTTATCTGGAAAAAGACCATGATTTTTTTTCTTTATCTATGTTGTGTATGGTGGTGCTAGTTAAAACCCCATGGTTTCAAGTAGTGTGTGTGGTGATGGTGTGTGTGGGAGTGTGTATGTGGGGACATACATGTACACAGTTAATTCTTCAACGCGGAACAATTTCATTGCAACAAAATTCGGTTTACATTATGACCACGAGGAAAATAATACTAAGGGGGTTAAGATTCAAGGATTGTATTACACGAAGTGTAATTAGCATACGTGAATTTGTATTACGTGAAGTGCAATTAACAGACTTTGATATTGTTATGAATTTACATTTGTTAAGATAAAAGTGTAAATCATTTAGAAGGCACCATTGAAAAAGTGCTATCAGACTGTTTGGCAAGTCTTGTATATTGTTTGTTGCAGTTATACTCACATTTTCAAATAATTTACAAATAAGACATTTTACATTTTGCAAATCTCATCAACAAAAAGAAAAAGAAGTGGACTAAAGTGTAAGCCCTGGAGTCTCCTGAACTGACTTGAATGGCAATAGATACAAAGTTTTTATATTTCACAAATTGTGTTCTGTTTCGGATATAATTTTCAAACCATTTTAATAGTGATCCTGATATTCCAAAAGCTTTTAATTTATGTATGATATGTTTCACTAAATCAAAGACTGTGCCAAATTCTGTGTAAATGCTACTGACTTGCTTTGTTTTCCTAATGAATTTAATATGTATTGGCTGTAAGATATCAGGTTACTTTCAATACTACAATTAAAAATAAAACTTTGTTGTTCTGTAGATAAAGAAGAATAGATTTAATGCGTAATTGTCAGTGATTATTGACTCATTAAATTAATATACAACACTTATTTTGGAGATTGGTCTGTAATTGGATATCTCATTTTTGGATCCAGTTTTACGGGTTGGTTTTACAAAAGCCGATTTCCATTCTAAAGAAAAGAATCCTTCAGACAAAGATTTATCATAAAGAATTTCTAGTTTATATGGAAAAATGAAATGGCATTTCTTTAATAATATGAGAGGTATCACATTTGGACCAGAATTTTTTCTACCATCAAGGTTGTTAATTTTGCAAAAAATATCATTAACTGTAATATCAAGAGTTGTAATATTATGAGGAATGAATCATAAATATTTATGTAGATTATATTATAAGGTGTGTAAAAGCTTTTGAAGTAATCAGAAAATGCATTTACTATGGATAATCCATTGTCAAATTTTGAGAATTTAAATTCATTATTTTGGGTAATATATTTTCAGATCTCTTTGAGTGAAAGTATTTCCAAAAATTATTTCCACTTATAAGAGTCACCTAGTTCAACAGTTTTTAAAATTCCTTTTAGCTAAAATTTGACACATTCTTCTCAAGTCAGAAAACTGAGCGTAAGATAGAGCAAAATTATTTTGTATATATTCTTTGTGAACCTTTAATTTAACAACAATTGATGTTTTAAGTTCACTGATATACGAAATAGGAAATTTGGATTTAGCTAGTCTCTTTTTGGGTATAAGTGAATCGATACAAGAGTATAAAAAATAGTAAAAAAGACTTTGTACAGGGGTGCTGAATAAGATGTTACCACTGACTACGTGTGATTCACTCTTATTTTAATAACAATAACACACACTATGTACACCAGTCTGAATGAAGCTACTCCATTGTTTCGACTTGTACTCCTTTCTTCTCAATGCAGTCTTTTCACCTTACAAACCATAGCTAGTTCACACATTCCCCTTAAGATAGAGCTCACAACTACTGTTATGCATTCCTAAAGGTCATTAATAGGGCGCAAATTTCCGCCACTGACATTAAATACATTTCTGTATGATACGAAAGCAACTGAAATTAAATTACAATATGAAATCTCATAACTTAAGGAAGACAAATTTTGTACACATACTTAATAATCTAAGCAATACATGTTGGTCTTTTATATATAATAACTTACTGGATTTTTAGTGGGAAATTTTTATGATATACAGTGAAACGTCAATACGGATTTTCAAATTACCAATATAGATTTTGAAAATAAATATTTATGGAAACAGTTGTATGCCTTTGCTAAATTCACACTCAGTGTTACCACTGCCCAAAAGCTTTAATCCATAAACTTAGGTGCCACATTGTGATTTTACTTCAAATTGTCTGCCCAAAGAGATAATTTGCAAACAAAGGCGGTGGTTCGCGTGTGACAATCGGTGAAAGAAAAATGTCAACAGAGCTTCCTGAGCTGGGCAAATAGTTTCTAGTGAAGGATATCATCAAGAGAGACCCCTGAAAGATGCAAAGTGAGTGCGCGATATAGCCTACTAAATGTATCATTTTCACAAACCTAATTTCTTTCTATTCTCTGCGATATTTGCGCTGAAAATTGACACACTAGAACTAGGGATTTGTCGATTTGCCCTTTTATTTGCAATAATGTCTGTATTTACAGACAGACTCATTCTAATGTGATGCAATAGCGGCATTTTAGAGAGAAGACTACAAAAAATCATGCTTTACAAATCTGAATTGTTTGTCTTAGAGATTTCTTATGAAAAACATACAGAAAAAAATGAAGAATTAAATGAAAAAAAAAAAATGATAAAAATGAAAAAATTTAGTAATATTGTAAAAAAATATTGTAAAAATATATCGTTAAAATATTTACATATATGTACTTTCGGGTAAAATGTGTAAAAATGTGTACTAAAGAGTCAACGGTTTTTGGCACTAATAGTTATGAAATGTGAAGATATCATTGATTCATTTGACTGTTTTGTTAGGAAAATATGTTATTACATAATTATCAAGTCCCTAGTGATCACGATGAGCCCACATGGACTTGTAGATCGACTCCTAGTTAGTACAAACCTGTGTTTTGCAAAAGATCAAAATGTATAAAATTCAGTTGATTCAATTCAGCATTCAACCAGAAATACAATCATTTAAAAAAATTCTCAACTGTGGGAAAGTTTGCGCCCTTTCTTGCACTACTTCATGATAGAGGAAAGGAGATGTTTTGGTTCGCTGTTCAAGACTCAATCGTGGAAACATTACTGTAAATTTTAAATGAGTGTTATAGAAGGTTGTTATAAATGAACAAAAATATGCCATGAAAAAAGGTCTTGGGAAAAAGATAAGATGGAATGTTTTTATGCAAGCCTCCAATGAAAGACAAAATACATATTCAAGAATCAAAACTTTTCAGAGAGCGTAAACAGTAAGAGGAGGACTTGGTATGGGAAGAGAATGAGCATCAACGATACATGTAAAGATGGAGTGAAATGAACAATGTTAATATTGATGATGATTTTTAAGGAACAAGAATAGAGTGAGAGCTCAGGCATAAAGATTTAATTTTTTTATCAAAACAATTTTCTTACCAATAAGTCAATTTGTGAATTTATTGTGAAAAAGTAGTTAAAAAAGAAAATTTTCGGGAGGCCTGTTTAAAATTTGTGAGTTGAGTGAATGTGGTACTTTTTTTTTAGTTTTGTAAGTCAACTTTGACCGATTTGTTACTAAAACAAGTAAAAAAGTGTATATTGTAATTTCTTGTGAGTGATTTGGAATGTTTCTTTTGTTCCAGATTATCTGTGCTAAAGGACTAGGCAATCCTGTGGTGATCTCTGACCGAAAAGTGTCACTAATGATGGCCAAGACTTGTGCTTACACAATCCTTGCCCTAGAGAACGTACTCCGTGCTGATAGGCGCCCTCTTGTGGGTGACTTGCCAAAACATCAAGAGGTGTGCTGTGATGGTTTGGTACGCCTGCTAAGTATTCTAGGCAGCTCTTCTGCCAAGCCTCGAAATTTTGGAAACAATGCCTTATTAATGTTGAAATACATTTTGGAGGCTCCTTCTGATGGACCTTGCTTGTTTGAATGGGATCCATTTGGAATGCTTGTTACATTGAGTAGTTGTATGCAAGCTCTCTTCCTCACTGACACACTTCCTCCGGTTCCCACAGGTGATCTTCAGTCCCATTACCTCCTGACATTGCTTTTCATTGCAAACTGTGTGAAGGCAATGCTGACTTTTGATTCCTCTAATCTTCAAGAGGCAATCAGTGTACAAAATGGTGAACATGAAAGGGCTCTTAAACCATTAATTACTTTAATGAAAATTGCCTTGACTGCTACGGGGATTGCTCCATATCGATTTAAGGTGCCTTCTGGGCGCCAGTTGTTGTCGCACATATATGCTGCATCATTACCTTTCTTACGCTGTTGTGCCCTGTTCTTTCATTTCCTGACAGGTGTGCCAGTCCCTGTTGCTTTGTCAGAAAGTCAGGTCAGTACACATGAAACTCAGTTCAGTGAATTGTGTGCGTACTTGGATTTGCCTGTGAGGGTTTGTGATCTTCTGGGCACGTCTGTTGCCCGTGAACTGGCACAAACATGGTGTAAACACCCACGTGTCAAAGAATTCCTGATGGTTGACCGCTATAAATCCATGTTGCGTTTACCTGCTCCTGTTAAACAACTTGTGCCCTTGCCTACCAAATTCAGAGACCTGGTTGCATATGTAGCCTGGTTTGAATGCCCAATTGTAGACCGTGAAGGTACATTCTGTCCCACAGTCTGTCTGGTATGTAAAGAGATTTTATGCCTGAAGTGCCGTGGGAATCATGATCGTCCTAAAGCACCACTGAGGAAAGGGCCAGGAGCATGCACTCAGCATGCTCGGAATTGTGGTGCAGGGCTTGGCTTGTTTCTGCGTGTGCCTAAATGTGATGTGATGGTGCTTGATGCATCTGGCCAAGGCTGCTTTCTGGCTGCCCCATATGTAGATAAGCATGGGGAAACTGATCCAGGGCTTCTGCGAGGCCATCCCCTTCACCTGTGCCAAAAAAGTTACCAAGAGTTGACACACATGTGGTTGAATCATAGTTTGTATAAGAAAATAGCAGAAGAAACAGAAAGGACTGGTAAATATGCATGGCATCACATGTAGTTATTTTTTGAGGTTTTCTCCCTCAACAGCATTCTTTGTGAAGCTGTTTTCATGAATAAAATTTGAATATTAGAAAATGGTCTTCAAATTATACTGATTGATGGGAAGTTATGAAAACGATGTTTCTTGGGGTATAGTATATTTTTATTGTTTCTTGCTGGATGAATTACTTGCCCTTAATTTATTATTATATTTGTGATTTTTGTCAATTATATCCATCAATGTTCATATTAATTGTTAATATGTTTAATGCTGTATTTGTGATGTTGATCAGTAATATCCAAGTGATTACTTTAGTATTGAAATCTCCTAAAGGGTCTTTGAAGTAAACATTCAGAAAATATAGTTTTGGGGAAATGTTCATAGCTCCATCTTGTCCCAGTTCTGCTAAAGAGCCACATAATGTGTCTTTATACTCGTTTAGCATAGATGAGTTATCAAATTTCAATTGCTCGCCATGCTCTTAAACTAAAATTTTTAGTTTGTGTCAAAAGCCTATGTTAACAGTAGAATATACTATCTTCAATTTATTACCAGAAAATTGAAAAGAGCCGAGTTTTTCTGCAATTTATATTTAATTAAAAAATGAAAGTACTATTAAATTGGAAAACAAAAGAAAAAACTTTTAAAGTTATATTCAAACTCTAGTAATTTGAAGCTTTAATGTGATTGGGCTTAAAAATGTTTTAGCATTTGTTGGGTAATAAACAGAATTTGAGAGAAATACAATATAACTCTAATAATGCAGATATGGTTACAAGCAAGAGCTAGAGTGAGATGAGAATGTGTTCAACAATATCACCTCAAGTTGTTCTTATACTCACAGGACCAAGTAGTACAAATATTACAAAATATACAATTAGATAGGGATTGAAGATGTGTTTGACATTTTGATATTACAGCTTTAATCACATTTTAAACATTTCCACGGTGTAACGTCTCTAGGTCTTCTATCATTGTCCTTAAGATCTTATTTCAGTCCTAATCATCTTGTCTGCAAAGATATTCTACAACATGGCCACGATTTTACTATACACTCTGCAAGAATGTGTTTTTCATTGAGACTGCCAACTTCAGAATATTATTAGTATTGAATTTCAGTATAAAATCCACATGATTCTGGATTCTCAGTTCAAAATTGTTTGACCTAACTGACTGAACCCCCTCTTATTAACTGACTGTACAGTATGTTTTTATTTCCACTGTGTCTATTATATTCTTGTGATGAAATTCTTTATGATTGAAAATGATAAATTCAGCATTTTTCAATTACATATTTTCCCACTTATATTAAACATTTTGCATCTCTCGTAAAATGTACTAATAAGATTGCACTGTATATGTTCTATGAAGTTCACATACTTTGAATGTTTTCTTTGTTATTGGGTCCCACAATTTGTAATCCTTTGTTTAATTAAAATAATTTGCAAATATGTTCTCATTAGCTCTTCATTACAATTTATTTCTACCTTGTTTAGTGTTATAAACATCCTAAAAAGCATAAACTTTGAGATGTTTATGCTAGGTTTCCTACCTCTCCACATTGCTTCAGGAACTTCAACTTTATAGTACTGTGATTAGTTTTTGACAGAGACACATATGGTTGTGTCCTGTAACTTTCGGGAAGCCTAACTGATTTTATCGATGCTCTTTCTTGAATCTAATAAAATCTATTTAAGCTTTGTACCTTCCTATTCATCTGTGGCATTCCAAATTATTGTTCTTTCATTACTTCATTCCTAAATCATCAACATCTCTATTAGATTATAGAAAAAATCCAGTCCATTTGAATGAAACTTTATTGCTCTTTCCCGATTCACATTCTATTCATGTGACATACCTATGTACATTACCTTCAACCTCCTCTTTTGACTTTTCAACAATAGACTGTAGTTATTCTAGAGAAATCATCAGTGAAAGTAAGAAAGTGTCTTCATCCTACATTTCTAAAATAATTTTGTAGATTGTGTTGAAGTGGCACAATTGATTTGTATATCATAGTTATTTTCACTGTTCACTCCATGCTTAATGTTAAATTGGTTCTGAAACGTCTGAACTTGGATATTATTTCTAATCATGCGCAAGATACATTCAGTTATGTTTCAGTAGTTTACTGTGTGGTTGTAGTTGGTTGTAAGAGATTGATCAAGTTGAGAATAATTTCTGTTTCTTAACTTGAACTAGTCAAGGTTACCTTATTCCAGTTGTAATACAGGAATTAAAGTGTTTCAATAAATATGAATTATAATCTGGTGTTGTGATTGCCCATTCCATATGCTCCATATGATTAAAATAGATCAATTAAAAAGGTCTATAAAATGAATAGAGAAAGAACCGTTCCATTAAGCTTTAAAAAAAATAATGAAGATAAGATTTAGAAGGTAAAACTTAAAAATATTTTTGAAGTATTGAGAACAACACTTGAATGATGAATAACTCATAAGCTCAAGTTTATATGCTGATATGTGCAGTCAGTATCACAAAACTCTTTACACAAGTAGTCTGAGAAGCAGATGTTACCAGTTAAAGATCTGTGGAGAGACTGCTATATGTACAGCCAGTGCTAAATTTGCATTTCCTGATGTACCTTTTCTAGAAAGCAGTAAAATATAAAATGTTGATATTTTGAACACTAAGATACAGCATTTGTGATTTTTTTGACTTAAAATTGTGTAGATTTTTTTTCTAATTGTATTTTTTGGGTTCACTTTTGTTCAGCATTTTGCACACTTTCTTCTCTAATTTTTGTTAATAAAGACTATTTCTGATAGAAAATGTTGTTTAATTGCCGTTATTAAAAAGAATGTATCATACCTGTTATTGAATTGTGAAATCGTTTGAGAAAAGTACATTAATCAGCAAATAATTAATTTTTTAAAATTGTGTATTGAAAGAATCGGTATTTGCCCCTACTGCATTAGAGTACTTCTGAACAAACATTTCTGTTAGAGAATGGCATCATATAATGAATAAATGCAAAAGTACCCATACTACCAATTTTTGAACAATGTCTTTCAATAATCCATGAACCATATCATGTCAAATGATGAATGAGGTGCCTTTTTTTCAGTGTCAAACTATGTACTATCACATTTTCATGAGAATTAAATTGACTTAAAAGTTCTGAAGAAGAAAAAATATATTTGTAAAGAGCAAAGTTTGAACTATTTAGACACAAATCTGTAATTTGACCATTTCGTGGTAAGTCTCTCCTTACGGAAGTTTGTAGTCAGGAGCTGTGGTGTTCTGAGGTCAAACATTTGAATGCTTTTGTATTATCTGTTTCTTTGCGAAAATGTTCTGGAATTTCATAAATAACCTGCTAGAAAATTTGGAATTTACTGCCTTTATCATCTGTAAGTAGGAAAAATACTTTTATATACCATGTGATAATGTTTGGTAAGCGCGCTCTTCGAATAATAGAAGAAGCTTCATTGTAGCACTAGGACTAATAATGGATTTACTCTTAGCACCAATTGCATAATGGCATGCAGTGTTTCACAATTTAACAGGAATTTCAACTATCTATCTATCTATCTGTGGCAGTTCCAGAATGTGTGTATGGGGGGTCTGTACCCTTTTTTGTAATGTTCATGATTTATTCCCAACAATTACCAAATACATCGCAGAATTCTCATAATGAATGTACATTTTTTAATGTATTTATTTCATTCATTTGCAAAAGTCTTACAATTTTTAGTGTTCATTTGTATTAACACAATAGTCAGTGCTATCTGATGCAGTAATGAGTTATTGTAGGGTTTTGCCATTCCTGCTGGGGTAACAACAGTCCAAATTTTTTTTTACATGAAATTAACATTTTTAAAGGTGAACTTACATTATAAGTAGATTTACAGGATGAGCAATTTCAAGTGAAAGAAAAAAAATCCACCACCACTGCCTTCTTCCCAATTAGATGAACGAATGTTTCTAAGACATTTTGCAAAAACGTGCTTCATTACTGAACATATTCTTCACTATCTCTTCTATAATACCCACAAGGTAGCGGGGTTAAGTTCTGAGCTTATTTCTAAAAAGGTACTGTCAAATGGAACAACTATATGACAGAGTATGCAACTACAGCCCAAACATGTTTGAGACATTGAGGTTTTCTGTTTATTCTTAGAAGAAACATTTTTGATACTTCTATGTATGGCGCATATTCTATGTACTGCTTGGAATCTTAGTACCTGTCAATTGCTGTTGGACAGTTGTTAACTGAAGTGCTGAGGTACTTGTATTTAAGTGATAATATAGTTGCATCTGGAACGGTAACTTCGATGTCTTTCAAGAATCTGGGAAGATGCTGTTTCGTTACATTTACTAATATATCATGATAAAATGTAATGCTGCAGCTGCTGCTGCTGCTGCTGATGATGATAGTAATTAGGGGCCAAGCAAACCTTTAAAATACAAAAGAGAATCATCTGGACAATAACAAATACAAAAACAACAGTCCTGTAGGCCTGAGTTCAAAAAACTTGACATACTTCCACTCTCTTTTATATTCATTTATGAAGCTCTCATGTTTGTAAAGAAAAACCTAACAAACAAGGACACACCTTACAAATTTAACCTTACCTAACTTAAGCTTACACTCATACTACACAAGGCAAGCATGTACCCCATCTTGGTAAGGTTTTTGTCCAGTTTCCCTGGTCCCTTCATTAAATGCTGAGATGGCCTCTTGTTCCGCTTCTGGACAGAAATGTAACTTCACTCTCTCCACATCATATTGACTTGTCATTCACAATTGTAATTGTATATGTGACTCGATAAAATATTATTATTACATTATAACCTTCACCAACCAATGTACACAAGCACATTATACCAAAAGGGTACTTAATAGAACAGGAATAAAATTCTTCAATAAATTACCAATAAATCTGAGAGACAACAGGATTGCACAGCTTCAAGAGTAAAATCACACTTCCTTGGGCAAGCACTTTTTTATAGTGTTAGGAATACCTCGGTAACTAATGTGTACAATCTGATTCCAGCAGGGTTAGGTGTAGAAATACAAAACCTGCCTCCTCTTCACCATTTCAAGAATTAGGCTAAACATTGAAATATTGTTAAATTGTATGTAGTTGTTAGGTACCATAATTGATGTCAAATACTGTTGTTATTATAGAAATATTATTATTGTTACTATCATTAAGTATTTTGTAAGTAGCAGCAGCAGCAGCAGCATTAAAATGACTAGGGCTGATACCAAGTAAATATTATTTTAAAAACAAAACTACAAATTTTGAAGTGTTTAATTATTTTGTCACTAAAAATAATTATCTACTGTATAATATATTAATCTATCTGTAACAATTATTGTAATATACATTAGGTGGCCAAATTGTTAGGGACAGTACTTATATTTGTGTAATTCTAGTTTAAAGTTTTTGAGCAAAAGATTTGTTAGTATTACTGTAGTGTTATTGTTATTACTATTGTTTTTAATAAGTGGGATTATCATAAAAAAGAAAGTGATGTTACTTCTCATTCAGTTGTAGTTTATTAAATACTGCTGTTGTAATGAAGACATACAAATTATTTTTTAATTCTGTTTGCAATTTTTTATTTTCAAAACATAAGTATT